ACCAGGTAAGCAGGGTGATGCCAGGGGAAGAGCCCCAGCCCAGGGGACAGTGAAAGTGAGATGCAATTTAACCAGTGCCCGGAATGAGCCAGGTTCAAGCCAATCAGCCCTGCCTGACATGAGCAGAGGGAAGCTAGAAGGGAATGGGGCCATCCAAACCTACGGCACACTCAGGAGTTGTAACAGGGTGGTCCCCAGGAAAGGGGGAGGTTCCAGGTTCCCTGCCCCACCCAAGGGAGGGTGGAGCTGAGCAGGAAGAGAAGAGGATGCAGAGGAGACTGAGGAAGGAAGGAAGCAGGATGGAGATCCAGAAGGAGACCTGGAGGAGGCGCATGGAGCCTAGAGACATGTGAAGAAACTGCGCTTGTCTTTTGGTTGTGGACTGGGTGACACAGATGTGGGTGAGACCCATGGGGAGGTGACAATGGCAGCTTTTATCTTGATGTTGATTTTGCTCTTTTCCTTCCAGGCTTGTCTGGTTGTTTCTGACCCTTTCTGTGGGTCCCCACTGGAAGGTGCTTTAGACTTGTGGCAGGCTTTGGGGCCTTGCTCTGGGCCGATCCCATATGGATGGATTTTACCCACGAGGGGACGGGTAACTTTGGGTGCTTCATTTAGAAACTAGACTCTTTGCCTTTCCTGTATTGTTTCCTAGTTTTATTAAAGTTCCTTCCCATTAAAGTCTATATGTTTTGTGTTGATGCAGCGAATGACAAAACCCATTTAAAATAGGCAGGTTTGCGGGGTTTAGGCTGCCCCTCTCCCTGCCCAATAACAGAGTGAGCACAGGAGTGACAGGTCCTGGGAGGCTTGGGAAGGCTGGGAGGGAGGGAGCAGGGACTCTGCCTGTTAGGTGTATCATGTGTCCTGGGGCCCAGCCCAGGCTCTGGTCCAGAGCGGCATTCCCGGGATAGCCACCAAATGAATAGAAGAGCATCTGGTAGCAAGATAAGGCTGGGGAAGACACACTGCCACCATGATTAAAAAAGTAAAAGCCCCAATTGTTGTTGAGTGGTCTTGAATCACCACTCAAGACTCAAAGACGCAAGAGCACAGCCCACTGGTCAACTCGGGGTGTGTCCTCTGCCAGGGATGTGAAAGGATCCCTCTACTCTGGTGGAAGGAGGGGAACACCCTGAATCAGCCCTCCCTTTACCCCACCATCACTAAGCTACCACATAGGGCAGTGCCCACTCTCCCCAAGGGATCCAGAGGTCAGACTCTGGCAGTCGACCCAACAGAAAGGTCTGTTGTGGCTGCCTGATAATGCAGACAGTGGTGACCGTGTTGACATCACCGCTATTTGCAGGGACCATAAATATACTCCAAGGCTGTGCTAAGCACCTGCCGTGTGCTGTCACCTCCCATGTGTTATCTCACTGACTCTTCATAGCAACTACCCCCATTTTACAGATGAGGAAACCGAAAGACAGAGAGACAGCTAGTTACTTAGCGGAGGCCCCACAGCCAGCGTGGGTGGGAACAGAACCCAGGGCTGTCTCCTCCTAGTGTGAAACATGGCATCCTCCTTTGCCCCAGGGCAGTAACTGACCCTCAGTTTTCCCATCTGTGAAAGGTGGCGAGTAGCTCTGCCCTTGCAAGACGTTGCGAAGTATCACATGTCACTGAGAAGCTGGTGGCTCACAGAGCTGGGCTAAGCGGCCACCACATCCGGTCTCAACCTCTGCACGAAGCCCAGAGAGCTCAACACGCATGCAGCGCCTGCACAGTTGGTGCCTGGGACTCATCACTCAGCTGTTCAGACTCGGGCAAGTCATTTTCCATCCTGGGCCTCAGTTTCCTCACCTGTCAAAGGAGGGGGTGGTGGAGGCCATCTCCAAGGACACTGAAGTGTTGACATCTGATTTTAAGCAGTAAAATACCCATGCTCACTGCCGGAAGGTGTTCCTTGCAGACTTCATGATGTCCTAATACCTGGCCAAATGAATGCTGTAAATTTCCCTTCCTCTGAGGACCGCTCTCCTTCCACACCCTCCTTCTCGAAGGCTCACACTTTCTCTGCTTTCCGGGGGATGTTTTCCAAGCGTCCCTGCATGGGGCCCTGGTGACAGCGGTGAGCAGAAGTTCAACCCCAGCAGTAATCACAGGCAGAAAGCGAGCGAGAAGAAATGCAGGATGGAGATGCCGAGCCAGAGGCTTCACCCTTGATTTTCCAGTGGCAAACTTGGAGTGGAGGCCAACGATGCCTTGGGGGAGGCCAGCAGGTCCTCTGAGACCCTCACCAGGACTATTGATAACCCAGGGTCCTCACTGGAACTGGCAGGCAGTGCAGGCACCGAAAATGAAATTGCTTGTCTGTGGCACAAGCTGAGTTGTCAACACTGATTTTTCTTCTACTCCTCACTTAGTCTGAGACACCATCAGTTCTGGTGCCTGAAAGGGTGTCCAGAACCAAGAATGCATTCTGTGAGTTGTTTGCAGTAAAATGAGCTCTAGATTTGGGGGAGCAAGGGATTTAACTAGGATTTGGTAAGACACTGGATAGGCTGCTGTGTGTGGTTGTTCAGCTTGTGCACTGAACAAGGGCACCTGGGGTGATGAGGCGACTCCATCTAATACTCTGGTTACCAAGTCATGACCGCCAGAGGGGCATGTCTGCACATGCACAAAGGTGCCCTATGGGCCAGCATAGGTGCTTACCCTGAACCTGAGTTTCTACCTCTCCAATGACCCACGCATTTTCTCCCACAGGGATATGGTAAGGACAAAGTCATATAACCCTATATGAACATACCTAGTAATAATTTATAATGAATTCTCATTATTACTATATACAAAGTCTTGTTCCACAAAGATTTAAAAGTACATTATGAAATTATATATGATTGAATAGAAAATATGAATACATACAATTTTATATACTGAATGAGTAAGAGAAAGCAAGTGAGGCATACACACCAGTACTTCCTTCCCTGTGCCCATAACAGTCATCACTAATCAATGTGAACCCTGGTACACACTGTCCATGCTCTGAAAGCGCGCTCCATCCTGGCACAGGGAAATGAGAAATCTGCTATAGGTTGTACCTGCTCCACAGGAGGTGTGTGATAAATGCAAATCATAATTCGGAACTGGTGGAGGGGCAGGAGAGGTATGCTGAATCAAGAAGTCCTGTGTGTATCACAGCTTTAGTCCTCAGCTTCATGGTGGGCAAAACAAAGAAGTAAACCCTCAGACGTGCACAAGTTGCCAACACACACATACGCACAGTGCCTAACATACAATTACACAGTTTCTCAGACTTCATTCAAGCTGCCTAGAGGGAATTCTGAGGGACTTTTTCGCATGGCTGTTCCTATCAAGGCCATGTGATAGATGCAACCATAGCATCACCAGCAGCCTAGAATAAGCATTAGCAGGTCTGCTTTGGTGATGCCATATAGAACGAGCCCAATGCAAGCCCAGGAAAGCTGTTCCCACCCATACCCAGCTCATGATAGGGTGCTAGGGGTAACAGGAGCCAACCTCCTCTTTACTTTCTGAATCAGGGAGTAGACCTTCAAAGGACCCTTAAGCCCTTCTCTAGATGAGGCGACAGAGACTTCAAAAGTCAGGGAGGAACCCCCAGCCCCAACCTCCAAGTCTGGGAGTATTTCTGTACTACCTGCTACCTCACAAAAGGTTGCTCACCACTCAGGAGCACTTCCTGCTCCAACTTGATCCATCATCAGGCATGGTGGTTGCCTCCAAATCCTACAGCCCAGCCCACCAAACAATATCCACCAAAAATTCCATTGGATGGCAAGAATTTGGGTAAGGCTGCCCACAAAGAACCCCTTAGGATTTTTTGCAAGTACCCAGAGGAACAAAGACCCAGAATGGGGTCTGAAGGCATGGTTGGGGGGTAGCATTTGAAAGGACCTTCAAGAACTAGCCCTCCTACCTATAGCTTGAAGGGATGGGCAAAGTGTAAGCTTTGGGATCATGCAAACCTCAGCTCAAACCCCCACCTTCCAGCTTGCATGCTGTGTCCTTGGCAAAGTTTTTTCACATCCTCTGAGCCAGCCTTATGGTTAATAACTGAACCCCTTTATGGTGCTACTGTGAGGACTGAATGAGATCAAGTGCTTTACAAAATTACTGGTTTATTAGACATACTGCTACCCTTACCAAAGATAACTGACATACTGCTACCCTTACCAAAGATAACTCTGGAGGTGCAGCTCAGAGTCAGGCAGATGTGAGTTTGAGTCCTGCTCTGACATACCTGGCTTAGCCTTTCTGAGCCTCAGTTTCCCCATGTGTTAAATGGGAGGCAGGATTATTTTAAAGGCCTGCAGCCTGCAAGAGTGCAATTCCAGTTAACACACCAGCACCAGGCAGCCCAAGGGAGGCTCTACCTCGGCTGGAGGAAGACAGCACAGTTCACCAGCAGCTTCCCTCCTGAGCCTGGGCTGGGAGAATGTGTAGGAGGAAGGTCCGGGGAGGGGGCCCTGGAGCTGGGAAGAACAGCCCTGGCGGGCAGGCAGCGGCAGTGACCCAGGAGGGAGGGAGCGCTTGGCTCCAAGCTCATCACTCAGCGAGCTGTCTCCCCCGGGCCCGGAACCCCGGCGGCCTGTCCTCCCCACTTCCTGCGTGCTGGGTCAATATTGTGATTTCCACCATGCAGCCTGCCTGGGACGGCCTGGCCCTGCACACAGCCCAGGGTCACGGAGCTGGGGGGAGACAGGGGTATGGAGAGGTCACTCACTGCCTGGAAGATGACTCAGGACCTGCAGGCTGCAGGCGGTGTGGCCAAGAGCCAGGAGCCCTGACACAACCATGCAGCCTCACCTCTACCACCCCCTGCCACAGGGGCTGCAGGCCCAGGAGCCCCAACATGTCTGCATTCCTCCCATTAAGCAGAGGGTTAGACTGAGGCCTGGGGAGTGGAGGGGTGGTGAGTTTACGACTGTTAGGACCCAAATCCCACCTCCTGACTTCAAATCCAGACCCAAACTCCCATCTCCTATCCTCCCTACCCCAGCTGGTCGACTTACCATCCTTATTTCCTCCTCCTATGTGTGGCACGGAAGAGAGAATAAGACCAACTCTGTAAAGAAGCGTTGGGGTGAGGCTTCTCCTGGGATGAGAAGCTATCAGGGCAACGCTGGCCAGGACCTCAGCATGCTGGAAGATATGGAGACAGTGGTTAGACAGACCAACTCTGAGAAAAGCAGGGCCTGTGGCTTCATTTCTGCCTAGTGGGCCAGAATATCAAGATATGTGGCCTGCATCTCCCCCTGGAGCCTCTCAGTCTCCTGTAGTCTGCGAGAGTTGCTTTCCCCCCAACCCCCAATCTGCATCCCCATTAGAACAGTGGTTCCTGAGGGCAGTGGCCTTGGCTGTCTCACCTCCAAATCCTCGTACTGAGGCCATCCCTGGTGATCAGCTGGGACCAACTGAAATGAAGAAAGGAACAGATGAATGAGTGGGCTCATGGTCTGTGTTCCCACGCCACACAGTGGCAGGAACTCTGTTGCCTGCCCCCATCACAGGAACTCCACGGGGGCTGAAACCATATTCTCCAAGTAACATGTCTTCTGGAGAGTCCATCCTTTACCTGGATACTTCCTTTTACTCTTTTAGGTTTCTCCTTAGTTGTCACTTCCTCCTGGAAGCTCTCCCTGACTACTTTGCCACAACGACATTAGCTGGTCCTGCTCTGAGTAACTTATACTCCCCTGTCAATTTATTCCAGGAAAGTTTAGGTTTGTTTAACGTTCCTCCCCTCTTGGTCAAACTAGGTCTTGAATTTCCATCTGTGAGATAAAAAGACACTGGTGTCCTCATTGTGTCTGGTACAGAGTTAGTGTATGATGAATGAATGAATGAATTCCTCATGGAATCTGGCCCATACTAGGATTCAGTAAATGCTGGCAGATGGCAACAGTGGTGTGGTCACGGCGGCTGATAGCTCCTGCTCTTTTCTGTCCAGCCATCTCTGTCTCCTACCAATATCAGCCTCCCCATCTGCTTTGGGAAATTGACTTTCCTCCTCAACATGACCCCATCAATCATGAAACCTGAATGTTCCACCCACGCGACCCAGATTCGGTCAATGATTGCCCCTCACTTCCCTGGCAGCAGTGATTGATCCAAGAGGGGGCATGTGACCCAAGAAAGACCAAAGTCCTTCCTTGCTTCCATTGACATGGAGGCAGGAAAAGGCAACTGTTTAGTTCTGAACGGGGTGTGGTATGGGGAGGAGGGCAGGGAGTGACAAGCTGGGCTGCTGGTCTAGTTCCTTGCCCCATGAAAGTGGGAGAATAAGGCCAACCCCAAAGGGGAGCAGAGGGGAGTATGAAGAGAGAATTCTGGTGACCTTGAGACTTGATTCCAAACCCCAAGCCCTCCCCAGGCCAGTTCCTGGACCAGCAAGTCCCCTTTTCACTCAAGCTGACGATAGGGGCTTCTCCCGCGTGTAATGGAAAGATTTAAAGGAGAAACAGTGAGAAAAACAGCGTCCAAGTGGAGACACAGATGTTGAGCAGCTATTGATCAGCAGACTCGGAAGAGGCAGGCGCTGCTGCTGCTGCTGCGGGCAGAGCAGATCCCCAGACCCACTGTGGGCAGGGCCAAAGGACACAGGCTTCACAGCAGGAAGGACCTGGGGTGGGCGGGGTGCAAAGGACAGAAACCAACACAATGGGGCTTGCTCAGCAGGAAGGAGAATTCAACAGCTCACATAACTGAAATGTCCATGGGTCTCTAGCTTCAGACAGGGCTGGATTCAGGTGCCCAACCGCTGTTGTCAAGAATCTGACTCCATCCCCCTCTAGCTCTCCATCCCTCTCCGCCTCTCCAGCTGCCATCTTCGGTATTGAATTAATTCTCAGGCAGGCTCGCTCAAGCCCAGCTTGGGCTTTCTATCCTAACAGCAACCTCAACAGAAAGACAGCACCTCTCTCCCCATCGAGCAGCAAATCTCCCAGTATGTCTTCTGACCAGCCAGGTCCCGTCTTGTGCCCACCCCCAGCTAACACCAGCCAGCAGAAGATGGACCTCTCATCAGCCAGACTTGTGCCACAGGTCCCCCCCTTGTGGTAAGCCCCACACATACCGATGGCCTGGGGGGAGGTCCCCCAAGGTGCTGCTATGGAGGAGGGAGCGCATGTCACAGGCAGAAATAACATGTCTACAATCCTCACCAAGAGATATCTGGTTGCAAGTTCTCCCCACAGGAAGGAAGGCCTGAGGGAGAAGAGTTCTTTGGGGAAAAGATATTCCCCCTTGGCTAGGCTGGTCTTTAGAAGAGGGAGGAGTCCCCCCCCCGCCCCCCGAAAGGCAGAGGATGAATGGGAGGACCTTCGGTTACTCCCATCCCTGGAAGTCTCTGGTTTGTAGCTGTGACGCCAATTGTCTGCGGACAGACACATTCCTGGACTTGCCTAAAAGGGCGGAGATGAGATTCAAGCATCTAAAAGCACCTCCAATTTCCAGATCTACATGCTCTAAATGCGTGGGTGCCAGTCCTGTGGGTACTCAGAAAAATCGGAGTCTTTTCTGTGCAGGCCACCTGAGCTTGCATTTGGTGGCAGAGAAAGTCAGTGGCTTTGGGTTGACTGAAAAGGCAACAACCAGAACCACAACTCTGGGGTGGTCTCCAGGACCCCTTGGAAGGAGGCTGCAGATGTGGGGCTCAAAACCCCACATCTTGGAAAAAGACAGGGAAATGGTCTCCTATAATTTCAAGGATGCCAGTAATTTACAGTGATGACCCTGCCTCACCCCCATATCACACGTGACCCAGACTGGCTTCCCTCAGTTGGGTTCCTCCCCATTATGCCCTGCTTCCACTCCACTGGCCTTTCAAGGCAAGAATGGACATGCCTTCAAGGAAGCTGCACACCTCCTCGTGAGCAGCACAGTGCTTCTCCACAACTCAGCTTCCTCATTTGTACAACTGAGGAATACCTGCCCTGCTGATCTGCTAAGATGACCGGTGGACAGGGACCGAGACCAGGCTTTGGAAATGATAGCCTCTCAGCAGGGTGCAGCACCCAGAACCCCTGCATGAACACCTGGGCAGGTCTGTAAATTACTTGGAGCTGGGGCTTGGAGAAAGGAATGTGTCTGTGTCTGGTCTGGGGGCAGGAGGATGGGCAAGATGAGATCTCGAAATGTTTTCAAGCCCTGAGTGGGCTGGCACTGCCTGGGCATGATGTGGTCAGGCTTAAAATCCCCACTGATGGTCCCTCAGCCCTTTGACATCTTTCCAGAGTGTTCTGGGCATAAAATATGAGCTCAGAAAACATAAGATGGGGGAGAGCAGAGGATCTCGAGTGACACTTCTTCCTGCCTTCCCGTCCAGCCCTTCAGCTTGTCCTGCTCTCCCTCCACTATCTCTGTTGGATCCACCCCCTTCACATCATATCCATGTCTACAGGCCTGGTCCAAGACAGCCCACTGCCCTGGACGGCTGTCCAGCCTCCTCACTGGCCTGATGCATCAGCTACCCTGCTCCAGCGTCCTTTCCTCAGAGCAGCAGCGAGAGACATATAAATGCAAAAAAACACTTATCTACACAATAGAAATTAGCCTTAAAAAGGAAGGACGTTCCACATATATCTCAATAGCTCCCAGCAGCATCCCATCGTTCTTAGAGAAATATCCAAACTCTTGATCAAGGAAAAAAAGATGATCTATTTCCAAAATACAAACAATAAACAGTGTTACCTCAATAAAAGTAAAATTATCTGACGTTTCTCTTTATTTTAATTGTGGTAAAATGCACACAGAACTTACCATCTTAACCATTTTGAAGTGTGCAGCTCATCACCTCCAGGACTTTTTCATGCCCCCCAACTGAAGCTGTTCCCATCAGGCACACACACCTCCCCTGCCCTCCCCCAGCTTCTGACGACCCCCCTTCTTTTCCCTGCCACTGTAACTTAACGACTCCAGGTAGCTCATACGAGTGGGCACACAGAGAACCTTTTTTTGTGACTGGCCTGCTCCACTTAGCATCACATCCTCAAGTTTTATCCAAACCTCCTTCCTATTCAAGGCTGAGTAAGAGTCATCATAAGGAGGCACCAACGTGGTATTCACCCATCGAAGAACACTTTGGGCTGCTTCAGCCTTTTTGTGACTCTGAGTCACGCTGCTGTGAATATGGAGGCACAGACAGCCCTTGATGACCCTGCTTTCAACTGTTCTGGATAGATCCCCACAGGTGGAGCTGCGGGACCATACAGGGATTCTGTGTTCACTTTGTGAGGTGCAGCGTACTGCAGTCGGCAGGGACGGCACCATCTTTCATTCGCTCCAACACTGCAGAGGTCTCCGCATCCTCCCCAATACCTGGGCTCTGCTTTTTTGGTGGCAGCCATCCTGCCATCCTTAGGTGGAATCTAAGGATTCCTGAGGGGGATATCTCAGTATTGTATGGAAGTGCTGTGTGTTAGGATGCGTGTTATCTCTCCCGGCACTAAATGCCAGTGGCCTGTCCCCAGTCTTTGTGACAACCACAAAACACTCATCAGGGAGGTGGCACAACCCTGATGGGACACTATCGACCACGCTCACCTTCCCTGCTTCATTCGTCGCTCCAACCTCACTCTCACCTCAGGGCCCTTGCCTTCTTTCTGCCCCAAATGCTCTTCTCCTGGGTCTTCACATGACGGAGCGCCTCCTTCAGGGCTCAGTTCAAACACCACCTCCTTGGGAAGCTTTGGCCCCGGGGTAGGCAGCCCCTGTGCTCTCTTACATGACCACCTTCTACTGTCACTTCTCACCTTCTGAAATTACCTTGTTCATTGGTGTGTTCACTGCCTCCTCATTAGGAACACAAGTTCCTTGAGAGCTGACCTTGTCTTTCCCCTTCATGTGGAACCCCAACTCCTACAGCCATGCCTGGCACTCTCTCAGTAAGTGTCTGCTGGCTGACTGAATGAGCGATAGTATCCTATGCTAGACCTGGAAGATGACCTCTCTTGCCACCACTCCATTTCTGAGGGGGGCCACGAGACTCAGTATAGGTCACACAACACATGGTCCAGGCCAAGGTGGGTCTCTTTTGGTAACCCCAGCCAGCATTCTCACCTCATGTCTCACACCCGGAGGACGTCTGTGCCCAGCTGGCGCTGTGCAATGAGGGTCACAGTTTGCTGACCCGAGCGGGGGGTGCAGTGTCTCCAGCTCTGGGTTTTCCCTTCCATGGGTGTTCTTTCTTTGGTGATCAGATAGAGTAGTTGGCTTGTCTGGAGCTGGGGCGGTATAAAAATTCAGCGTTTCGTACTGCAGAAGCACCTGAGCTCAGTGAAAGGCACTCTCTCTCTCTTCCCAAAAGGAGTACAGTTGAATTTGTCACAAAAACCGTACAGTCAGTGATCGTGCCTCCCTTCTCTGGAGAAAGGCCATACTGCCCATACATGGCCTCCACAGATCTGCTCCAGCCCCAGTCCACTCAGTAAACCCCTGGCCTCCTTGGTCATGGAGTCCTTGGCCAGTGTTAACCTGATATGGGGTGGAAGGCATTTCTCCACTGAGACTGTTCGGCCTATAGTCAGACTGACCTTCTTCAAACCCTAGCAGCCCCTTGGAAGTCAGAGTCAGGCGACCAGTTCTGGATGGGGGTTTCCTCATCTGCAGGGCAGGGCTGCTTTGGGGTGTTGTGAGGATCGGGTGGGACAAGATAATGTGAGACTTGGTGCCATGCTGGCACAGATGGGGGCTTGATTAGTCACCATTCCCGCCCAGCAGTTGGAAGGCCTACCCAAGCCTTGGCCCAGCTTGCCCTGGGAAGTCCCTCCCACCCCATTTCTAGAGGATTGGATAAGCCTCAATGGCAAGTGCCTCTATCGAGCCAGAGAAATAAAAATGGGATCAGGGCAATAATGCTGATAATGACTACAGCCCCATTTCTCGAGCACCAAAGGCATGCAGGGTATTATCTAGACCCTCTGCCATTTGGCATGCTCAGCTGCAGCAGCAGGTATCCAGTTAGTCGATGAGGAAACTGGGGCAAAGAAAGACTAATCTAATTGTCCAAGGTCACATAGTCAAAGTGTCTGGGCCAGGCAGCCTGGAGCCAAGAAGAAGGGGCACCCACGGTCATGAGGCACCAGGGAGATGCCCAGAGCAGCTTGGAACATCAGACAGGCTCTGCTCCTGAGCTTGAAGGGGCTGTTGATGAAGGAGGAAGGCTAGATTTAAGTGTCACCTTTTCAAGGAGACCCCTCACTGACCCCCGCCCCAGCCTCCTCCACAGCCTTTGCCGTGCTTTAGTTGTCTCATAGCACTTAACATTATCTGACATAGACTCAGAGGATCAGAGACATAGACAGGGTCATAAAGGGCTTAGTGAGGCCCTTTATAGGGCACGCACACACACACACGCACACCCCACCCTCATCCCAAACAAGGTCTTCAACAGTCATTCTAAAGGGCAGCCTTCAATCCATTTGAAAATCTAATCCAGAGCTTGGTCATTTGGTCCAGGCTGTGGCTGGGCGGTGAGGACAGCAAGGTGGGATGCTCACAGTCATGCAGGGGACACAGACACATGAACTCACATGTACAATCACTTTTTATAGACAAAGCGGTTCCTCCACCAGTGACAAGGATATGCCTCTATGATGTCCCTGCCTCCCGAATGCCATCCACCCACGCAAATATTTACTGTTATATACCAGGCATTGGGGAAACAAGGAAAATTCAAGGCAATATGGTTCCTTCCTTCACAGAGCCCTGGTATGCCTAGAAAACTCCTGATCATTCTTCAAAACCCTTCTCCGATGCCCTCACACCAGCATGGAACTTCCCCTGCCCCCTCTCCCCCCCCACCCCCAAGCAGCTGCGTCTTTGCCGGTGCTCCCCTGGGGCTCTGTGACTTAGTTGCAGAGCAAAGAGAAAGAAGAAACAACCAGCCCTTGACATTCGCTCTGAACAGACCCCACGCCAGCTACCTCACAGACAACCCCGCCCTTGCCCCGCTTCAGGCTCTCCACAACCCTGCAAGGGGGAAAGAGTCCCCCTTTCCAGATGAGAAAAACGGGCTCAGAGAAGTTAAGTCTCTTGCCCCAGGTCACACAGTCAGCTGCTAAGTGAGAAGCAGGGACAGGAAACCAACACAAACCCTCCCCTCCATCAGCCAATGGCCACGCACTGAGGGCCTGGAAGAGGGGGTGGTGGCTATGTGGGCATTGTGCCCTGTGCTCAGCCCCAGCACCGGCAGAGCACACAGTGGGTGCTTGGGCAGGCGGGTGTGGAGGGAGCGAGTAGAAGCCGCCCTGGAGCTGGGCCTGCCTGCGTTGCCCCCCTCCGGGCCTAGGTGGCGGTGTGCACACTCCGTCTCCCCAGCCCCGACAGGCAGCCACCTTCAGCTCCTGGGCCAGAAGAGGTGCCGCTCTCCTTCCCCCAGCTTCTTCCGCCTGGCGGCCCTGGACCTACCAGTTCAACCTCTGTCCCTGCTGACTGGGGCTGCCCCTTACTGACACTTAGCCTAGCATGATGGTGAGGCCTCGGGATGGGCCACTTCCCTTCCCCAAATGTTGCAGAGGGGAGGGAAAACCGACCCACTGGAGATCACGGTCAGAGCCATGAAGCTCACCTCGTCAGGCGCCCAGGGGGGCCTGCCAGGGACACATCTCTGATTGGTGTTCCCTGCCCTATTGGTCTGAGTAAGGCCCCCCACCCATTTCCACCCCACCCCCACCAAGGCCATGAGTTGTCTCAAAGCTCCGGAGGCCATTTCTGAGCTGCTCAGCCACTCGGCTTCAGCCCCATGGGAGATGGAAGCCAAGAGAGGGAAGGATCTTGTGCAAAGCTCCTCACAAGTCAGGCAGGAGTCAGAGTAGGGCCTAGGTCTCCTGATCTGAATTTCCAGCACAGTTTGAAGCTGTTTCTGCAGGGCCCTGGGGCAACTAGAGAAAAATGCAGTCCAACCAGTTATCTGATGTAGTAATAATAAAAATAACAACAACTCCCATTTCTGTCGGGTTTTCAGCCTTTCACCTGCATTACCTCACTTGTCCTCACACCTGCCAGGGGAGGTGCATGCCACTGCCCCTCATTTTACCAATGCCCACTTCCCAGAGGGTTGGGACCAGGCCGCAGCTCCCAGGCTGGGAGTCTCACCAAAGGGAGCGGAGGGTGAGGCCCAGTGGGAGTGAGGGGTGGGGCAGCTGCACTGTGAAGTGCAGGTGGGGGAGTCTCAGAGTGCAATCCCTCCTCCCTCCAGACTGTCCCCCACACCACCCCAGGCCAGATAGCCTCTCCTCACTCCCTTTCCCTCCCAGAAAATCATCTGGGCCTCTCTGAGTATCAGGTCTGGTTTTCTCAGCCCGCCCTTAGGCAAGTCCCTCTCCTCATCTTGGACTCAGTTTCCCCATCTGTAATAACAACTGGGTTGACCTTTGAGTTTGGCCTTTCAGCCCTCGTGGTCTGTCCTCCCAGAGGAAAGGGTGAGGCAGGATCAGCAAAAGAGTACAGAAAAAGCTGGGGTGGGGGGTGGGGGCAGCTAGCAAGTGGCAGGTGCCAAGCGCTGGCTTCTCTGCTGGTGGCCCAGGACAGCCAAAGGGGGATGCTGCCCAGGGGGCTCAGAGTCAATGCCTGCCATCTGCCCACCTGCCTGTGTCTCAGTGTCCTCATCTGTCTAGTGGGGATGATAAACCCATCCAGTAGGTCATAGGAAGAGCCCAGTGCAGCCATGTGCATAACATGCTTTGCAACCCCCACCACATAAGCACTCAAAGTGCAGCAGCAGCATCTGACTTCTTCTCCCATGCTCTGGCCCAATGCATGCCCGGCTGAGCCTTAAGAGGAAGCGCCTGCCTTGGCATCAGCAACGCCTGAGCAATACCCCATCTCAGGTAACCTGCCCAGTCACCCAAACCTCTGTTTGTACACCTGGAAAGTGGAGCCAATGAGATCTGCATGGGCAAATATGGACGTGCAGCAAGATGGATCATGGAAAGGTGTCTGATACAGGATTTGGCCAATGGAAAGAGGCTGCTGAGAACTTGTTCCTTCTTCTTCATTGAATCAAATGCAATTTTACAATTGGAACAAAACAACTACAAAACAATGCTACTGCTAATATTTAATGAACACTTACTGTGTGCCTGACACTTTGCTAGTTTAACTCCATCCTCATAAACGACCCTACGAGGTATGCAGAGATGTGATGCTCATTTTACAGAGAGGGGAACTGAACCACAGGCAAGCAGCATGGTGTCTTCTTGAAGCCTCCAGTGCTGCCTGCAGCCCACCAACAGTACGTGCTCATTTACTGAGCAGCTACTGTGTTCCAGGCAGTGTTCTAACCCTTCCCTTCTTAGTGCTTTCAATCCTCTCAACAATGCTACCCTCGTTGTCCCCATTTTACAGATGAGAAACTGAGTCACAGAGAAGTAAAGACATTCATTCGTTCATGGAACAAGCAGCCGAGCCACGATTCAAACTCAGGTGTGGGTAACTCCTCCACCTGGTCAGGTAACCACTGCCCCAGACACTGTCTGGAGTCCAGCCCTGCCATGAGGCCTCTGCAGCACCCAGAACCCATGGTCCTCAGAGTGGATGCCCTCGAGGAACTGGGGGTCTTCAGGTGGAGCAAAGTGACACTATGCGGAGGGTAAACATACTCCCCCAGCCCCACCGATGTCCCAGACACACAGGGAACAGGTGCACAGCTCCCGGCCCTGGGCTAGGTAAGGGGGGAACTCGTTTGGCAGCCAGAGCTCTGTGTGAACAAGAAGAAACCCCGCCTGCAGCCCCTGGCCCTGGCAGGAGATTAACAAAACAAATACCCGAGCAATCTCGATTTCAACACTTGGGGAGGGGGCCGAGTGTCAGGGTGCAGGAGGCGGGAGGGAAACACGGAGACATTTTACCACCTAAATAACTTTCCCTCTGTTTAGTTTCACACGAATGTACACTCAAGTGCTCGCTCACTCTCTCTCTTTTTTACATTTTTATTTTATTTTTACAAATGCTCAAACTTTCCTGCCACAAATTATTCTTGGCCAGGTTACAAGCAGAAAGGCCGTGTGTATCCTTTGCTTGACAAAAAGAGAAGGGGGAGGAAGGGAGGGCTCTTATGAAATATTTTGGTTGTGGGTTTGAGGTGGGATTTCTTGCTTCATTTTCCCAACTGCGTCTTTGCCTCTGCATTCACCAGCAGTCTCGACATGGTCTACAGCCTTCCTCTGCTCTGCACACCTCCAGCTGCCCCAGCGGGATCTCGTGCTTCTAGTTTCCACGCGCCCACTGGAATGGCCCTGGGAAGGGTGGTCTGGAGCAGAGTGCGTCTCACCCTGGCCAGGCCCAGCCATGCTTGAACGAGCTGGGGACCTGGGGACCAGGGCACCAGGGCAGAGCTGCCTAAATGCCCTGGCAGGAGGCTGGGTGGGCCTGCCCCCACCCCCACCCCCAGGGGTGCAGAAGGAGGGGAGCTGTCCAGTTCACCTCCACCTTGCCCCAGCCTCCAGTCTCC